GATATGAATATTATGAATGAATGTACTCATTTAGAATAGTATACTTATTTCTCAACAGTGATACCAAGGGATGTGCTTATAAATTATGCACTTTTATGAATGATACGAATCCTGGCATTAGCATTCGATTGGAACAAAACGCTGGCGAAGCTCTTGCGAAAGACTGGGATTGAACATAGTATGGAAAGTTGCTCTGTGCATTGTGGCTTACGACGTATCGAATTTTTGCTATTAAAACCACCAGGTTGCATATGATGCAAACATGATACGCTCCCATAATGAACATATACTTTCACTAGAAGTCTATATATGTATACGACGATGAATTATTTTTATACAACTTCGACATCTACTGGGTCTACATATGTAAATTTCATATTTATTTCATAAAAATTGTGTACTTGTTATATAAGTATGACTGCAGGAATAATGTAAACGAAGAGACGCGATGAGGGGAGGAAGTGTGAAATTATAGGAGGAATGCTGATCGTTCACGTTCCAGATTACGCGTTTATGCAAATTCTTCTTTCATTCCTGTTTGTTTTGGCATAAAATCAGGAACGCTTCTGTGGCAATTTTCAACGCGGACACCTTCTCTTTATAATATGTACATGATACATAATGTGAGCATGTGAGCAGAATTTCAGATTACTATTTTAAGCAAATACCATTTTGCAAATTGTTAATTTTTAATTTTGTCAAAATTGAGAGAGGCACAAATTTCATTCTTAGTAAAATACACGAATCATCAGTGTTCATGAGAGATTCTCAAGTGAAATCAAGAATTTTGTAATTTACACTTGTCTATCGTTTATAAAATAATGTCTGAAGTCTCAGGTACATAGATTGTATATGTAGTTTGACCTTTTTTGAGAGATGCATGCGAAATTGATGAGATTTGAATTCTTCTGTTTTCATCAATCGTGAGAGACTCTCAAGTGAAATAATGAATCTCTGAATTTTCACCTAATATTTATAAAACATTTTTTGAAGACTTGAACTACTCTATGTTATGAACCTTAGTTACACGAGCACTCATTATGCGAACATACTAATACATGACCAGATTTATGGGATTAGTTCACATAATAGAAGTTGTACTGTAACGCGAGACTAGGATTTGTTCCTAGCCAAACAAATCACGTGGAAACAATCGATTTCGTACCCTTTCGTTCCCGTGCAGCGGAAGGAAACCAAACAAGTATGAAACTCCGTGGAGTCATGCAGGATGGTCGAACAGTGGAAAATTTCCTTCCGCGTAGATACGTTGCAAAACGGAGCCAGCTCGGTTTCGCGTTACTCACGCGGTATCAGCGTCGCGATGTGAACATCGTGAACGCGGTTTCCTATTGCTCGACAGAGTTTCGCCGCCGGTGCAGGCGGCGTGTCTGGTGTGCTGAACGTAATCTTTGTGCGAAAACACCACTTTACAAATAAATAGATTCTTGTCAGAGTCTCGCCGTCTGGTCGTTTTCATGCTCATTTCCTACGAAACGAAACTAATCCCGCTTAGAATCTAATTGTATAAAAAATATTACACAGTTTACACGAGTTTTTAACCAGACGGCGAATGTAAGAAAATTCGAAAATGCGTAGTAGAGAAGGGGGGTGACTGCGTTCAACGAAGCAGGTCTTTTAAGGGTACGCGACTTGACAAAAGAGAACAAAGCATAGAACGAAGGTCATACTGGCGATGCGGGAGGTCCTAGGACAATCAGAAGGTTTGGCCAAAGAGGCACTCTTGGTACAGCCG